GAGTAAACTTCATTAACGATGTGTAGTAACTTTTTAAATTTCATTATTATTGACGTTGATATTATATATATGCACACTGAATCTTATTGTTTGCCTTGTTGATCATATAGGAATGCCAATCTTTGCAACAGCACCAATACTCGGCCCGATTCACGGCAAGCTATGCTTGGCCGATGCTTGGTGTCCTATATTGGCCCATACGTGGCGTATGATCGGCTGCCATTAAAATTACTTTTGGTTTTTGGTGTTTGCATCGCGTTTTCCAGTTTCTCGCAAATATGCCGCAAACTTATTATAGGTTAAAAAAGCATCGGAAATTAAGAAAATTAAATAGCAGCAAACAGTGTGACAAAATTGAAAATGACAATAAACAAAGTAATAGTGATGAAGTGGATGCAGATATCGAAAATAATGTCCGTGAGGTTGTGTCTGATATTGGAGTACGAACTACTGATCCAGTAAGAATTAACGTGGAAGAGGATGATTCTGAGCAAGATTTTAATAGTGTTCACAATGTAAATAACTCTTTTCAAACAAGTGACCATGTTGATATATTGTTCAACGATGAAATTAACAATAGTGGCATAACGGATAAAATCCGACAGTGGACTCTTAACAACTTGGATAGTTTGCGATTAAATGTCGTGACGGATTTATTGCAAATACTAAGGAGTGAAGGCCATTCCTCCTTACCAAAAACTTGTCAAACTCTTTTGGGCACTAAACATTACCGAAAGTTGCAACAAATGCAAAGCAGTAAAAATTCTCCCGGAGAATATTTTTTTATTGGCATTGAACATAGTTTACGCCGAATAATTAATCCTGACATTTTCACGGAAGAAGAAATTTCTGTGTTAGTTCATATTGACGGTATTCAAATATACAATAATTCCCAAATACAAGTTTGGCCAATCATTATGAAAATATTTCATGAACACTATGTTTGCAAACCTTTTATAGTTGCGTTATATTGTGGTGATTCTAAACCGATGAGTGTTTGCAATTATTTAAGTGATTTTGTTAATGAAGCAACGAAATTAATCAATGAGGGTGTAATGATAAACAGAAAAATGTATTCTTTCAAATTAATTGCCATTATTGCTGACTCTCCCGCACGGTCATTTTTTGAAATGTATCAAGTCACCCGGTGCATTTTACGCTTGTGAAAGGTGTACGATTAAAGGGATTACCGTAGGAGAGAAGTTGAAGAAAAAAAGAGTATACCCGCAAATAGATAATCCAAAACGTTCAAAGAAGTCATTTGAAGAACAAAATCAACCTCAGCATCACAAAGAAAATTTGGTGTCACCGTTAGTAATGATACCCAATTTTGACATAATTAATGATGTAGTTTTAGATTCCATGCATCTGCTATATCTTGGAGTGATGAAGTTTTTAATGGAAAGTTGGACTCTGAAGAAAAGTGTTGCGCGACTGAGAAGAAAAAATATAAAACAATTTCGTCAAGTGATGTTTAATATAACACCTGATGTGCCTTGCGAGTTTCAGAGAAAACAATTTGATGTGAACTTAGTAGCAAGATGGAAAGCTACACAATTTCGATTTTTGCTTTTGTATTGTGGTCCTGTCGCTTTAAAAGATATTTTACCGGACAATTATTATAGACATTTTTTATTATTATTTACAGCATGCAGAATATTAAATAGTCGTGACTTAATGATGAACAGATGTGATTATGCTAAATATTTATTGACACAATTTTTTACATTATTACCATCACTATACGGAGAAGGTTCCCAAGTACTCAGTATGCACAACTTAATCCATTTAGCTGATGACGTTGTAAATCTGAATACTCCATTAAGTGACATTTCCGCTTTCTGGGGAGAAAGTTATATTGGACTTTTTAAAAAATTAGTTAAATCACCAAAAAAACCATTGACTCAAATAATCAATAGATTAAGTGAGCTAGAATGTGGTGATCGACTTAAAATAAAAAAATGTCATACTTTCTCGAATTGTATTATAAACTATAGTGTTGGATTATTTAATTATGGAGGAAGTGATTATGAAGTGATTTCATCAATTAAAATCAATAATACTACTTTGAAAGGAGTTCATCCGGATAACGTGATATTACTGAAAAATTCGAAAATCTTCCTTATTGAACGAATCTTGAAGAAACACGATATAAACAAAAAGGTGGTTACAACAGACAAAATATTTATCCTAGGACGAGAGATGAAAAATCAACGAGAAATGTTTAAGTATCCCCTTACATCAGAACAGATAGGTGTTTTCAGTGGAGATGAATTGGAAGTGTTTCGTAAAATAATATCAAGTACAATGATCAAACAAAAATGTATTTTGTTACACAATTCAAATAACCAATACGCAATTACTATTTTACATTTTTAATAAAATCTTTTGTTTGCTCGGCCTGATTCACGGCAAGCTATATGATCAGCCGATGCTTGGTATCCTATATTGGCCGATACTCGGCGTATGGTCGGATGCCATTAAAATTATTTTTCGTTTTTGGTGTTCACGCCGCATATATCGCGTGTTTTTTAGTTCCTTGCAAATATGCAAATTTGCATCTCTTGTGCGAAGATCAACTGAGTTATTGTGTTGTATTTAGTTACGTCCATTACGTATGTACACCTGTGTACGAGACGCGACACACTTGAACACGAGTGCCAGCGGCAGCGAACAAGTGCGACACGCGTGCTACGTACCGAACGTTCTCGAGCATTCGGCAGGCGCCCGGCGAGGAGCGAGAGTGTACGCTGCGCGGCTAAACGTTCCGTCATCCTGCACGTCGTCCGAGTATTATCCTCTTTCAAAGTTGTCGAAACGAGAGATTAGCATACCTCAACTTAACCAAGAAAGCGACGATAACTTTCGGGAACAAGGTAAGAAAACCAATAACGATTTAATGGTTATGTGCGCAAAGGTTATGATACGTCGTTTACAATACACGGCGTAATTAAGCTTGGTTTAAGAAGTAAGAGTAGAAGTAAGGCTGATAGCAGAGAACTATCCGTAAACGCTTAAGACTGGATTAGTCGTAGACGTAGGGCAAGGCAGTGAGAAACGTAAGTCGTGAAAGGCTATTGTATACGACTTACGTTTTTCTCTGCCTTGCCCTACGTCTACGACTGAGACAGTCTTAAGCGTTTACGGATTGTTCTCTGCCATCAGCCTAAGGAAGAAACTTCCGGTCGTAAACGAAATAAATTAGATTTATTTCTTACTTCTTACGCTTACGCTCGGCCAATCAGAGCGGATTGTCGGCCAGTACATAACATCTTTCTCGAACTTTCTCTATTAAATTCTTACTTTACCGTATTGTAGACAGGATTATCGTACCCGTCTTCTACAATGGCCGTAAGAGCAGTAAACATTGACCAACCACAGTCAATCGAATCGATGTCGATCGAAGTTTCATTTCTCACTAGGTTATTTTTGGACTGTAATAATCCTATTAGTCGATAGCTTACTGCTTTCGTCTTACGTCTTACAACTACTCTTATAGTCATAGAAGTGTAAGTCCCTTTTACTCCCCCTCCTACTCTTACTTCTTACGCTAAACTTACTCCGTGTATTGTAAACGACGCATGAGATGCATACAAAAATTCGGACATGATACAAAAGTTAAATAATGTAATAGATGAGTGATAATCGAAATAATCCTCCACCTCCACATTTTGCTGTCGTGCGATTCACGAGCGAGAAATCAAGAAGATTGGTTGATTTAGTACCCTATTCATGGGTATATGAAACGGAAGAAACAGAATATCGTTGCTTGCATCCCGATGAAAGCCAATATCTTTATTTGGATAAGTGGCTTACAACGGATAAAATGCCCGATGAAAATTAGGAATCTTTTGCAGTATCCATTATTGCATATGCAAGTAAGGAATCTATCCTGACCTACGTCGATTTATAAATAATCTAATATTATTAAATAATGTATTTGTATCTGTGTCTTTAATGACATAATTCTCTATGAATCGTTAGAAGATTTAAAACAAGGAAAAAGAAGATTAAAACGAGCTTTAAAGACAGAAGAGATTCAATGCACCGATGATGATTTACATAACAACAACAATAATGAGAAAGCAGCTGTCATGTCCAAAGATTCTGTAACTAAGCAGCTAGATGCAGTTATTCCGTGTTCAAATTTCAAACAACCGTCAAAAAGGAAGAGAGATGAAACGAAGAAAAATGATGAAGGTGAATCAGTATTGTAGATTTGTAATTTAGTATTTACATTATGAAATTCAATTAAATTTTTATAAATATTTTTTAATTTTAGATAGATCAACGGAAACACCATATCCTATTATATTGGACGATATACCGGTGGATATATTGAACATGCCACCAAGTAAGTATAAGTGTTTAAAAAATTCTGTTACATATATACTACTTTAAGATTATTCAAATTTTTATTTCACTATTTAATTATTCTTTAGTTTCAGATAATATCATAGCCCTGCAAGATCATATAGATTCAAAAATCGAGCAGCTTCGGAACGAACTGATCTGCCAAATAACTTCTGTTAAAAGAAGTATCTTATATGACCTGGAAAGAAAAATCACTGAAATTAAACACACTACTGTAATATATTAAGAAATTCACATGCACGCACGCACGCACACACAGGCACACAAACCACATGTGTTCAATTATTCATAAAATGATAGTATTTATTCAAAGCTAGATGTTACAACATTTATCACTGTCAAACAATTGATCAGTAAGATAAACTCAGGTATGGCTACACGGAAAAGGTGGCTATTGAGGTTATAATTTCTTTAATAATCGCTCAGTCTTATTATTTGCCATTTCTAACCCTGGCTATCACATATTTGCTAATGCTGGTACAGTACTGACTGACAGAATCTTGGCCGACAGCTGATAGCCATACGTCGACCAAGCGTTGGCCTTCATTGTAATGCCTAGATAGACTATATAGATGGACTGCCCGCTATTTGCCAGTGTTGGCCCAGTACTGGCTAACAGAACCTTGGCCAACACTTGACTGCCGTAGCATTGGCTAAACGTTGGCTTCGTTGTAATGTCTGGCGACCCTATATGGG